CAGGGCCTTGCACATGCTGGGCAAGCACTCACCACTGAGCCACCCCAGCCCCATAGCTCAGATGTGTTGTCTCCACTCTGCATCTCCTCTCACTGCAGCTAATACAGTTTTATCGTGGAAAATTACTTACGCACATAGCTCTAGGGGATTTTGTGCTGAACTCCAGTCTTGCTCATCTAATCAATAGGGGCAGGGGAGGTTCTAGAGCAGTTAAAATATATTCTAGATGGGTCCGTTTTACCCACTGGTGCTACATGTACGTCTCTAAGTAGTAAGGACTTTTGTTGGTAGGGAGATGTTGGGGATTGCATGCAAGGTCTTTGCACTGAGCTACATCCCTCGTGCTTTTAACATTTTTAGTGAATGATTGATTGAGATAGATACTGCTTGTTACCCAGGCTGGGCTGGAGTGTGTGACCCTCCTGCCTCCGTCTCCCAGAATGCTGGGATTACCCAGCTATAAGGACTTTAAAAAAAAAATAACTACAATGCAATTATGGCACCTAACAAAATTCAAAATAATTCTTTACTGTCACCTAATCTCCAGTTCATAGTCAGACTTCCCTGATTGCCTTAACAGGTCTCTTTAGAGGACACCCATTGGTGTCCGCTGTCTGCCGTGTCTGCTGAGTCTCTTACTCTGTAGGGTGTCCCTTCCCCACAGCCAGCCTCCTCCTGCGTGGGTCACCTGGCTTGCTCTCTGAGGTGACTTAGCACACACTGTAGTGTGCACCACTTCTCCTGGGGCTCCTGGAGGCTGCTGCTCCCTGGGCCGTGGATGGTGAGGGTGAGCAGGTCCCTTCTCCGTTTCCCACAGTTTGGTAAGACTCAGCTCAGCTCAGCTTGTGACAGTGTTGCCTCCCACTGAGGTCAGGTGTCTGCTGTGCTGCTTTGAGGTCCAGAGGCCCACGAGTGGGCTTGGTCCTGTCCACGTGACACTCCCCCTGTGGCGCCCCTCCCAGGCCTGTTCTGAGGGTTTTAGCATCCATCCCTGCTCTCTCGTTTGATTCATTACTTCCTCAGCAGCTCATGCAGTCAAGGTTGTACAGGCTGTGTGCTGCTTTCTCTAGAACTGTCAGATTCTCAGCAGTGCACTGACGCCCTCATTACTTCCTGTGGTGACCAGAGGGGCTCTTTAAGGTACCATTATAATCCATGAACTTTTCAATTTAAGGTTTTCTGATGTATTACAGTTATTATCTTTAGATTTTACATTTTAATTGACACATAATTATACATGTTTATGGGATACATTATGATGTTTCAGTGTGTGAAAAAATATAATGATTACATCTGGATAACTGGCGTGTCTGTCAGATGTATATCATTCATCCTGGGAACACTTAAAATTGTCTCTACAAGCTGCTTTGAAATATTCAGGTAGTTGTCTACTGTGCTGTAGAACATTAGAAGTCATTCCTCTTGTCCACCTGTACCCCTGGCCCCATTAACTGTCCTCTCTACCTCTCCTGCCTACATCCTTCCCAGCCTTAGTAACTGCTGTTACTACCTCTGCTTCCTGAGATCAACTTTTCAACTTCCACCTGTAAGTGGGGACATACACTTGTCTTTCTTCACCTGGGTTATTTCAGTTAACGTACTGTCCTCCAGTTCCATCCAATTCCTTTCCTTTTATGACTGGATGATAGCCAGTGTATATGTACTACATTTCTTTTGTTGATTCATCCATCAGTGGACAGCTAGGTTTATTCACTATTGAGAATAATGCTGCAGTAATCATGCGATTACAGATGTATCTTCAGTAAGCTGATTTCAGTCCTTTGACTGTATACTCAGTACTGGGATTGTTGGTTCACAAGGCAGCTCTATTTCTAGTTTTTTTTGAGGAAACCATCTGTTTTCTGTAATGACTATATTAATTTACACCAGCATTGTATGACAGTTCCCTAATCTCCACATCCTCACCAGTATTTTTTTGTTGTTGTTTGTGTTTTGGTCTTCTTGATAATAGCCATTCTAACAGGAGTAAGATTGATATCTTGTTATAGCTTTGAGTTTCATTTCTTTGATGATTAGTGATGTTAGTTTTTTATATGTCGGCTATTTGAATATCTTCTTTTGAGAATGTTAATTGGAGTGTGTGGGGGTATTTTTGCTATTGATTTGAGTTCTTTACCTATTCTGGAAATTAACCCCCTGTCAGATTAATAGTTTGCAAATATTTTCTCCCATTCTGTAGGTTGCCTGTTCAATCTGGATTACAGTGTTTCCTTTGCTTTCCAGGAGTCTTTTAGTTTGATGTAATCCCATTTGTCAGTATTTCCTTTTGTTGCCTATGCTTTGGGGGTCCTATCCAAAATATATTTGCCCAGCCCAGTGTTCTGAAGCATGCCTCCTATGCTGTGTTCTGGTAGTTTCATAATTGTGGGTCTTACGTTTAAATCTTTGATCCATTTCTAGTTGTTTTTTCATACAACAACTTTCACCTTATGGTGAAACATAAGGATCTGATTTCTTTGTTCTGCCTATGGAAGCAGTTTTTGCAGCATTACTTATTGAAACTTTCTCTAATGTATGTTCTTGTCTTCACTGAAAATCAGTTGGCTATAAACAAGTATGTTTATTTCTGGATTATATGTTCTGTTCCATTGATCTATGTGTCTGTTTTTATGCCAGTCATCATGCTGTGTTGTCTACTGTTTTTTTTTGTTGTTGTTGTTGTTGTTATTGTTTTGTTTTTTTAAGACAGGGTCTTGGTCTGTAATTCAGGCTGGCCTTGAACTCACTGTATAGCCTCAGTCTCCCAAGTGGTGGGATTACAGGTATGCACCACCACGAACACTCTACTGTTGCTTGTGGAGTATTTTTAGATCAGGTAGTGTAATCCCTCCAGCTTCTCCCCACCCCAGGATTTTTTTTCCATATAGATATTTTAGAAGTATTTTACTACTTCTGTGAAGAATATCATTAGGATTTTAACACAATTGCATTGAATCTGCACATTGCTTTGGGTAATGTAGATATTTTAACAATTTTCCAAGCCTTGAACATGGGATTTCTTTCTATTTTCTTGCATTTATTTTATCAGTGTTTTGTAATTTTCATTGTAGAGGTCATTCA